TTAGAGCATCATTGTAAGTCTGCAATCTCCCTTGCTCAGCATGGATTTTTTGAAAAATCGGTCAACAACGACTTATCTGCTTGAATTTACATATTTGTTAAATTGAATTCCTCCTCTTGAAGCTAACTTGTATGGAAGTTGGTCTAGAACACATCTAGGTACTTATACTTATACATTGCAACGTATATCTTCAGTGAAAGATCTTGGAGTTCTTTTTGATCCCAAATTGAATTTTTATCTTCACATCTCCACTATCGTTTACAAAGCTAAGGGTGTTCTTGGTGTTAATAAACGTTGGTCCAGAGAATTTAACGACCCCACACCACCAAGCTACTTTACAGTTCTGTAGTAAGTAGAAATAATTGATGTAAATGTGCCTAATGATGCTGAATTTGTTGCTGTTAGAGTATCTTTTCCGTTCTTTGCACTATACATCTGTTGTTCTTATATACCTCCCTCTCCCGATATTCAGGTTTATATAGAACATACAACCTGTATCAAATGAATCACTAATCTCCTACGTGACAGTGACGCGTTCGCTGTGGTAGGTGATTTTAATTTGACCAACATTCTTCAATCATTCTAACTAAGCAATCATTCTAACTCGGCAGAGCATGTCTCTTTAGATTGCCTGCAGGACCTTTTATTGTTCCAAATTAATTCTATACCTAATCACTTAAGCAGAATGCTTGATCTCGTCTTTGTCACTGACCCTGCTAGTGCAGTTATCTCTAAGTCTTCTCCCCTGACATTGCCAGAAGATTCTTAGCACCCTACTCTGCAAATTTCCCTCTCAATTCAAGCTCTATCTTTACTCCTACACTTATCCCAAACAGTACTAGTTTGTGCTTTCGCAAAGGAAGTTTTCGTTTGTTAAACGAAATAGTGTCATATCGTTTGCGTTATCTAAACCTCTTTGGTTTTCACCAAGACTTTCAAACGTCCTTGCTCTCCTGGGGTAGCCAATATCCTAGTTGTGTACTCAAGGAGTGTTCTGTTCCCTTTTACAACCATTGTTTGATTCTTCAATCTTTCCAGCTATATGGAGAGAATCTTTTGTAATTCCTTTACGTAAAGGGTGGTAAGTCTGATATTCCGAATAACAGCGGTATTGTAAAGTTGTCCGCCATACCAAAATTATAAGAAAATTTGGATTCATAAAGAGACGGTCTACTAGGAAAAATTTGCTGGAATTTACTTCCTTGGTAAATGAATCATTCATTCAAAAAAAGCAGACTGACGTCACTTACACTGACTTTAGTAAAGCATTTGACTCTGTGAACCATGATCTTCTGCTCTTTAAGCTCAGTCGTATAGGATTTCCCTCCGCTTTTTTGTGTTGGATTTCGTCTTATTTAAAAAACAGGACCCAACGGATCTTGCTTAGGTCTGAGTCCGTTTTTGCATCATCGGGTGTGCCTTAAGGTAGCCACCTTTGCCCCTTACTTTTAACATTATTTACTAATGACCTCCCCTCTACCTTGGCACACTCTCATATTCTTCTGTATGCTAATGATGTGAAACTTATTCTATCTTACAAAAACCCTTCTCGTTTTCATCGCCTGCTGGATGATCTGAACTGCATCCAATCTTGGTGCTTAGCTAACCACTTGCACCTCAATTGCTCTAAATGTACGTTTATGACATTTCACCGAATTTCGCCTCATTTAGTCATGTATACGATTGACAATGTGCCATTGCAACGTATATCGACTGTTGAAGACCTTGGGTTTCTCCATATCTCTAGTATTGTCAATAATACCAAGCGATTACTTGGAATCATTAAACATTGGTTCGAGGAATTCAATGACCCTTATACCACTAAGCTTCTTTACACTGCTCTAGTACGCCCTGTGCTTGAATACTGCTCATGAGTTTGGTGTCCGCAGTATAGAAATCATCGGGAACGTATTGAGTCTGTTCAGAAGCAATTCCTACTTTTTGCTCTACTTGGTCTAAGCTGGGATCTCAACCTCTGCTCGCCATCGTACTCTAGCAGGCTAATGCTATAAACCTTCCTTCTTTGGTAAATCGTAGGACTGTTCCTGGAGTCATTTTTCTTCAAAAGTTGGTTATTGGTGAGGTGGTTGCCTTAATTTTTCAGTTCCTTGTAGTCCAACAAGGTATTATTTGCCGTTCATATTGTCTAGATGCCCAACCGATTACGCTGTGCACAATCGTTTTCGGGTCATTTGCAGTAATTATAATGATCTTTCTTTTTTACTCTCGACAGAACTCTCCCTAAATTCTATGAAAACTGCCCTCTATACTTATCTCCGGGGAAATCTCTGACCACTTTGGCTGTGATTGCCAGAATGGCAATTAAATTTCCCTCCACCGGGTTGGAGATTTTTCTTTTCCTCTTTCTGCCTTACTTCACCTAGATAGCTCTTAAGTAGAATTACGTTTTCTCCTCTACTATCTATTTTTTTGTGGTGTGTGTAGGTCTATATGAATGGTATACTTGTAAGATAAGATTAAAGATGAAAAGAGTTGATGTTTTTAAATCCAGAATTTCAATCCAAAGAATAATCCACTTGATTGTTGTTTGTTGTTTTTTAGTTAGAAATTTTATTTTGTTCGTATCATGTTGTTGCATTTTCGTTTCGATTCCGTTTTCAAAAATGTAATGTATGTATTATGGTTTCGAGACGTACTCTTTATTGGTAGATTAGTTAAACTTATTTAAATTTTACATCCGACTGCCCCTTCACAGATAATTTAATTCATCCGCTGAACGTACAATTTTTCATTTTTTTTTCTATACAACTTTTTTGTCGTCATGTTTCGAACAAATTGTAGTTTAAAATAATGGCTGTATGTGTACGTAATTGTATGTGTTTAGAAATTAATTTAAGCTCGAATTTGTATTTCAATAATTTTTAAAAACAGTTTTCAGTTATCACTAATTAGCCAATAGGTGTTCGAGTTAATAAACTAATTGATTCCACGTGCCACCACGTGCCGTTCCGTTCGTTCCATTTACTTCTTTCAGCGTTTAATGTTTTTGTTTTTGGCTATAAAAATTAAGTTCTTGTGAAGTTATTATGTTTCGTTTTTAAATATTCTTTGCACTATTTTTGTGTGTAAGATTTAAATTACAACAAATAAATATTAATGTTTTGTTATTAGTTATGTATTCCTTATGATTTTACAAATTTTGCTGCTGCTTTTTGTTGCTTTTGTTTAATTTTCTCCGCTCCCTCCGTTTCCTCTCTTTGTTTTGTTTAATTTTATGTACTTTGTTTTGTGTTTTGCTAAGGCGACTTTTGTTTGGTTGTTTCACTTTGTTGTTTGTTGTTTTTGTGCTTTACATTTTTGCAATATTTTTTAGTTTCTTTCTTTAATTTTTGTCAGTTGTTTTTCTTCGCATCTTCATTTACACAAAAAGGAACAATTTGTATTTGGAATTGAAAATAGAGATACTATAGAACGTAAAACAAGGGAGTTTGTAATGGAAAAGAACACAAAACACAATTCACTTGAAATAATAAACAACTTTTAGGCATTAAAATTTGTGCTAGAAATTCGGCTATTAAAATTATTTAAGTTCATGCCACGCCCCCAATTCTACTTTTTGCTTGAGAAAAGTTATACCGTTTGCTCTTTGTTTTTGTTCTTTTTGTCGTTTCGTGTTTTTATCGTTTTTGTTTCTTTTAACATATTCAGTCTTTCAGCTTTTAACACAAATAAATTAATTAAATTAATTTATTCAATTGCATTTAAGTTATAAGTTCTGCCTGCCTGTAAATAATTTCGTGTTCTATTGCATTTATGTGGTAATTTCTGTTGTCTGCCTTTGAGTTTGCTCTTAAAAGTTTATAGCCAAAAAGTTCATGTTTCGTTTCAATCGCGAAAAATCCTCTCATCTTTTTCGTAATCGAATAAAAATTTTGAAAAATTTCCCTTCATTCCCTCTACCTTTCTTGTTCTTTGTTTTTGTATCCTTAGTCAAAGTTGGTTGTATAAGCCAAAAGTTTGGTTGCTTGTTTAAAAGTATTTAACTTAAAGCTACATATTTGGGTTTTCCATTTACATTTAATAGTTATTATAATATTGGTATTTTTTTTGTTTTGTTTATATGCGCTCTGTTGCTCTTTGTTATTATAAACTGCCTATACTTGATGCCTTTCGTAATAATTAATAAAAACTTTTCGAGTGGACGTACGCTTAATTGTTCTTTTTTTATAACTCTCTTCAAGTTGCTTTGCGTTGCTGTTTTTGTTTTTAATCGAAATGTATGCTTAAATTTAATTATTTGTAGTTATACGTTTCTATAATAAATATATAAAATTTTGTGTCTAAATCGGTTGTTTTTAGGAGCTTCGGTTTAGTGAAGAGAACTTAAATATAACACAAGAATAGTTCAACTATATTTAATTTAAATATATATGAGTCTGGACTCTGATCTATTTTTGTGTTTTTGTAATTGCTTTTCGATTTCTGGGTGGGGCTGAAACGTTCAATTTTCTCTTTACAAGATTTATACAAATATATATATTTATACTTATTTATTTCATTTTGTGTCAGAACCAAACAATTTGTATGTCTAAATCGGTTTCTTTCAACTATGTTCGTTAGTTTATAAGGCAACTGCTTTGTTTTTCTTACTGATTCTTGTATGTAGTTTGTAGTTTCTGTTCGTCTTTGCTGCATTTGTATGTGAATTTGTTTTGGTATCAAACTATTTTGAAATAAACAGGAACTGAGTGTTGAACTTTGTTGCCCGAAATTGTTTCAAAATTGCACAATTTTTCTGCCAACTCCTAAAAACAACGAAATTTTTTCATTTTCTTTCTTTTTTGTTGCAAAATTTTGCTGCGTCTTATTTGTAATTTTTGTTCGATTAAATCTAAAATTTCTCAGAATTTTCAAAGTATTTATTCATAATTAAATTTTGAATTTCTCGTCTTAAGTTTTATATTTTGCGTATATTTTTGTAAACTCAAAAGCAATTGAAGTAAAGTTTGAAATTTTCTTGCCTAAACTTGAATGCAGTTTACAATGCGCATATTTGTATTTATTGGGTTTATATATATATTCTTTAATAATTGGTATTTGCAGGCATGTTGTTCATGGATTGCCTGCTACTATGTAAATTATGGAAATAAAACCTAAATAAAATGAAAGTTGTTTGTAACGATGAGTGTTAAAAGAAAGTATTTGTTGTTTTTTCTTTCTCAAAAATAAACTTTAATGATCAGTTAATTCAAAAACAAAGCCATAACACTAAAAATATAATCAGTAAGATCTATAAATCTGCAATCAAATCAAATCAAATATAAGCTTAAGTTCCATAATAATTTTCAAAAACAGTAATGGTTTAATATCAAAATAGAGCATAATAGAAAAACTGTAACTATAGGTTTTGGCCACTCTAATGACGTGATCGTAGAAGCATCCACTGCCACTACACATCCGTCCTGCCTGCTGTCCATTAATTGAACTTTCGCTTTTTGCCACCCCGCTTCTTCCCCTTGCCACGCGATTTCCCCAACTTGCGTTTTTTGCTGCCACCATCGCCACGCAGCGCCGTCTCCCGGCTAATCTCGCCCAGTATCTCATCGCCCAGGGTGCCTGCAAGGAAGACGCATTATATATCTGGAATCGAATGTATATATGTGGTTTAAAATCTACCCAATGTGGTGAGGCGACGCTGACGATGTTTCTCCGCCTTGGTTACTGGAAGACGCGTCAAATAGGTCTCCTCATACTCCTGCTTCTCTTTCTGTTCCTGCGACAGCATCTGTTGTGCCCGCGATCCCGAAGATATCTCGGCGGGTGCATCCAAAAACTCTTCCTTCAAGTCTTGCAGCATGGACGAGCTAAACAGTGAGTAGATAAATAGTTCCGTAATCTAATCCAGTTCCAAAGTAAGTGAATAGAACAGCATATTCGACTATCCCCATCGCTCACTCTTCATAAATATGCAGTCCTGTTTACATTTCTTTGCGGTACTTACGTGATTGCACGCTTCTTAGCGCGCTCCATAGCCTTCTTCTCCTTGTCCGCCTCACGCTCATCCCCATCGTAAAAGACGGGCTTGATGCGCGGTGGCACATAGACACCCGTTTTGCCGGCCGTTGCTGCCTTTTTGGGTTTCTTTATGGCACCAGCTGCCTCATCGTCCTCATCCTCGTCCTCCTCATCGTCGTCGTCCTCGTCGCTGTCGCTTTGTGAGTGCTCCAATTCGTCGCCATCCTCGCCAGTGGCTGCCCCACTCAACATCTCATCCGGATTGGGCTTGTAGAGGATGGGATCTGTGCTGCTGGACACACCGGTGGTGGCTGTTTTCACCAGCTTGTCAATCTGATAGCGCAACTTGTAGTCTATCGGTCGTATCTTCTCGAGCACGGTGCGTATCTCTATCAAGCGTTCGATGGAGGGATCACCCTCGATGGTCTCGCCAGAGCATTTTCGCAACACTACATACGTCAGATTAATCAAATAGTCCAGCAGCATGTGATATTTGACCTCTAGAAAGCTCAGACCGTACTCTGTGGTCAGCTCCCCACGCTTGACGCGCTGCAGCATTCCTTCGACCAGATCTGTTACCTGCTTCACATTGCTGTTCATCTCGCCGAGCAGCTGGATGGCCTGTGGAATGTCCTGTTGTCCCTGCACCTCGCAGTCATAGTCCAGAGCCTTGAAAAAGAATTGTGAATTGTGACCATGTTAATGCTAGTTGTGAGCAGAAAAGATTGTTGATTGATGATGTGTGATGATATGTGTGTGTTGGCGTCAATTTGTTCTGATTGTTTATATTTGTTATCATATTTCTTCATATCCATGGTAGGTGTAGATACATATTTATGTTTCTAAGATATTAAGCTCCATATGATATGCAACGAATTATTAGAAAGTGTTACTTTTTTGTTTTGATTGTTTGACCATAGTTAGCTTATACCAGGGCAATTAGTTATGCTTGAAGTTTTTTTTATGAGCCAAATTCTTCTCTTAAGCTAAGAAATTTGAGCCACATTTTTTAGAAATATGTGCACCTTTCCGATCGCTTCAACGGCAATCAATGCCTTCCTGCATTTCAATATAGCAATCATTCATCAATTACGCCAGCCCAGATGGTCCATCATTTTATAAGCACTACTCAGAGTTTTGTTTTGTTATTTTTATTATGTGCCAGGTATTTATGATCTCTAGGGTTGGTAATTGATGTCAAGCCATCGATAAAAATAACTCAAAACACATGTAGGTAAATATACAAATTATTCATATTTCCCACATAATTTTTCAATTTAAACCTTCTTACGGCCAAGAAACAGGTCAGTCTATTAAGAAATAATAAATCTTTATGATAGTCATTTGATCAGTGATTTGCGATTAAACCAATATTGTTTATTTTATCCTTATTCTTATGGAAGCTGCGATTATCAATTAGCTTAGACTTAGCAATGGGTGTTAATTTTGGTATCGGTATTCTGGTATTATGTTTAAATGAGTAATTTTACTGATCAGAATCCATTCCAATCCTTTCTAGAATTCTTATATCTTTGAGGGGACTATCGATTAGCTTTGACTCAGCAATGGGTATTAATTTCTGCATTTGGAACAGTTTTTAAAAGAGTAATTTAATCCAATTTTTCAATAATTGATGAGCGTTTTCATAATTTAGGATCGAATTTGTATATTTTGTACTATTTGTATATATATGGTTCAAGAAAAGTTTTACTTGCTGCAGATGTTTTAAATATATATCAGCGTGTATTGAACGAACAAAGTCATCAGCCAATCAGATCCTGTTATGTCAGCCTGCTCTCTCCCTCTCTCTCTGTCTCTCTCCCCGTTTCTCGGTAGTTGTAATGCATTTCATATTTAAAAACTGTAGTGCACAGGAAATTAAATTCCCTACGCATATACACAAATAATTTGATTAGTATTTACTCGTAGCGCGACAGCCTCTAAAACATACACATTATAACGAGCTCTTTTCTATGTATATAGCATATGTATGTGTTGGTGTCCCTTCGTGTCCTGTTGTCCTGCCTTTGTGCGCCACACCGCATAACTCATTTACATATTTTATTGGCTGGCATTTAATTATTTGCATTTTGCAAAACTGTTGGCTGCGGCCACAGCTTTGGCCAACAACAGCAACAAACAACCCACAGCCCATTACCATCCACCACCCGATCCCATTACCAACCATTACCAACCAGCCAGCGGACGGCCCATCTGTTGGTTTTCCATTTTTGTTGGCTGCTTTTTTGACCGCCGCGGCTTATGCTGCATTTATTTTCAATTAATATTAATAAAGCGGCCGACCGGATAATTTCGCAAATATATATTTAGATATTAATTTCAAAATGCGCGCATTTTTTGTGGGCTTGCGCGGCTTGTTTTTGCCAGCCCCGAGGGGATCAGCTGCAATTTTGCAGTTTACAAAGCAATTTAGCAAATAATTATTTTGATAATAATTTTTGAGTGCGCTTTTGGTTTTTTGTTTCGTGCACCTTCCGCGTATTTGCATAATATTAGTATTGCATTATTGGAAAATTATTTTAATTGAATTTTCGAGGGTGGCAATAACACAACAAAGTAGCTTCAAGTGGAATGGAAAATATAGATAGGAGTTTCCTTTCGGTTTATTACAAAATTAATTAGAAATATTTTGGAAATATATTTTGAATGAGCTCAGCGTAGTTGGCAAATAAAGAGCATATAAGAGTGGGTTATTATTTATGTTTAGTCAGGCACACACCAACAACTGCGCATAGACAGACAAAGCCTCGATGTACATGTGTGTGACAATAAAACTGTACATGAACATATGTCTCTAAGTACGGGTTATAAATTTCGTAATTAATTCATTTACTAGCAAGAATTTAATGAAATATATATTCTCGATAAGTAGAGTTAGAGGAGACGAGTTTATATAGCCATGTAAAGAGCTAGAATACCCAAAAATGTTTCCAGGTTTCCCTACACCTTAGCTAGATTAAGTTTGTGTTTATTGTTCTGTTTTCCAAATCGTCCTTGATATTTTTTGTTTTTTACTAAATTTGATGGCATTCAGTTAGTAATTATATGTCCTCCTGCCAGTTTCGTCGAGATAGGTCAAGATATTTTCTTCAACTGATTTCAGTATCATTATATGGTGCTTTGATTGAATTAATTCGCTTAATTTATGAACATTTTCGGTTTGGTAAAACTCACAAGTTTCAACCGAGAAACCTATTCAATCGATGTTCGTTAACAGCCACCCATTGCTTGAAATAAGCAGAGGCAAGGAACGGGAAAGCTGTAGGGGTTAAGGGCTCTTGGCTATGAGTCGACTTGGTCTAAAATAATTCCGACGAAGATGATGAGTTCGACAACATTGTCGACTCGTTGGTCGACAAGAACAATGAAAGGCAAGCTTCATCTTAATACGTACGAGTAGATATGCGGTATTCGTGATAAGAGTTTTGGTTATAATGCAACGCTATTCTGTGTTTGCTAAACAGACGCCTGTAATGAATGACGCCAACAACAATTGAAAAGCCAATTACACACACACCCACACACAAAAAGTGCAATATGTACCTCTGAATGCAAAAACCCATTCCATGCCGACAGTGTATTCACCGGACTCGCACTCTCCAAAGCCCAGCGAAATGGTAATGTGATTTAAAATTCGTTGCGCGTTTTGTAAACTTTTCAAATGCAGCAAACTGCAGCAGTAACAACAACAGAAACAACAACAACAACAACAGCAGCAGCAACAACCACATCATTGGTAAAGGAAATTGCAAATGCGAGTGGCAGTCTTGTTTGCATTAACGGTTATTTAGCAATGCGTTTTATGTGCCGATGCTATATATGTAGACCGACACCATTACCATTGCCATCATGGCGGCCATCATCATTTACACCGACAATAACAACAACATTAACAAGCAGCGGCGGCGCCCGAAAATATGCAACAACAAATGCAATTGAATAACGCAGTGTTATTTTTTTGTTGGCGTTATTACAGGGAATTGTATTTGGCTGCAGCCTCCCATAACGAGCCATAACATACACACACACACACACACACACACACGCAAACAAACACATCGCACACACATTCAAAAGCCATCCTTGTCGCGCAGTTAACCCAACAACGCCCCCCTGCTTACCACAGCCAGTCATTCAGTTTTTATTTCCGTTTTTGCGCGCATGAATAAAATATAAATGCAATTTATGTTTGTCTGCCCGGGCAGGTTATGAAAATGCATTGCCCCCCACCAACCTACCCTGCCCTTCCGCCCAAAATCCTTTGCGCGGCCACATTTGATGTCGTCCTGCCCCCTCTCTATGTTTGTTGTTCTTGTAAATATACTTGTATTTCAAAATTTGTCCAGCAGCAATTATCGTTGCAATTTTTGTCTTTTTGGGGCTTTTCGGTTTCGCGCATAAATTTAAATATTAATATCGCGTCTGTCTGTCTGTCTGTTTGTTTGTATGTCTGTCTCGTTGTCCCTTTGTCTGTGTGTGTGTGTGTGAGTGACCAACAAAGATAATTGCATAAATGCATTGCCTATTTATACTATACATATACAATCTGTTTTTACATGCAGGTACATATATATTTAGACTATATACCAACTCGTACATATGTATATACTTGTACATATTTGCGGACCATCTGCAGCATTGGTCGGTGAATTGTTGACCAATGGGCTTTTAGCATTACTAGCTGACAATTTTTGGCGTTGATTTAAGCGAAATTAAGTATTTATGGCATTGTTAATGCATATTTTACAACAAGACGTAGACTCGCATTAAGTGCTAGATACACTGTTGGAAGCGGGAAGTGGGGGTGCATTTTATTTGGTTTTGGATGTCAATACTAACTACAAACTGCTTGCAAGGCAGCTATTATAAACTTAATAGTTATTGGAACGTAATTTCTCAAATCTGAAGCTTGATATTATTATACTTTTTTCGTCAAATGGGTTTACGGTTCAAAATGAAACCATTTTATTTTATTTATGAAGAACAATATAAAATTTATAAAAAAGCCGTAAGGGCTAGCAAAGTCTATAAAGGAATATTTAAATAAATTACAATGGGGAATTTAAATTGCCATTCAGCTAGCTTTGACCCGAATCACAGTGAGAATATCCGAGATTCCTAAGATGGTTGGAAAGAGATGTTTTTAGAAAGGTTGAGAGCAGGGGGAAATGTTCAGTATAATTTAATGCATAATTATATCGACATCTATTTAGGATAAAAGGAACATAATTTCTTGTTGCTCGACAGGGAACTAAGAATTTAAGATCTAAAAGGGAAAAATATTCGACACTGCCAACAATCAATTTTTATAGGAACAAACTAACACTCCACATCCTAAATATATTCTAAAATATATCTGTAAATATTAGTGAAATTTTACAAGTTCTAGCTTTTGCCAAATACCACAGACATGGAGTTGGATGTCCACACTACTGCAGATAATTGGTTTGATCGAAGATTTAGAAACCCTTGAAATAAAATCCTTGCAATTTTTATTTAAATTTTTAATTCGAGGTATAAATTTAAATTCATATTTTTTTGGCATTGGAAAATCAAGCACGGCATGTCGCTTGTCCAAAGCAGATTGCAGAATGGTGTGCTGACTTTCTAGTTGTCTGCTGCAGACAATTGGCGAACAATTGGTTAAC